TTACTCACTGCTCCCCCCAGGGTAGTTAAAAAGTTACACACTACAGGCCACAATGCAGGATAAAGTGTTGGTATCTGCTTCTGCGGCCAACCTACCCCCTCACATTGTTCCAGCGCCCCCAGTGGGCAATATTGCCCACTTTGGGAAACACTGGTTTAAACGTTCTCCATGGACTCTTGATGATTTGAAGGCAGCAGAAAAACCACTAAATTTTGACAAGATTCCTACTATTAGTTTTTTTTTAACCTTTTATTAATAGGAAACAAATCAGTGAACTCCTGGGAGCCAGAATATCCATCCAGAAAGCGAACCATATATACACTTACTTACCTATGCACCCAACTGCATGCCAGGAGCAGTGAAGGGGGTGAAAAGCCTACAAGACCAGAAGTGAGTGTGCTGTACATGCTGACCTGGTGCAGCCTGACTCTGCTTTTCCATGGCTGGTTCCCTCCGCAGAGTTGCCAACTGCTGGTTCTGCTGGCCACACAAGAGTGCTGTCTTAGGGTTCTCCAGGGAAGCAGAACCAGTTAAGATATACATGATGGGCTTTAGTGAGTGCTTGGGGAGGTGCCAATACCTTTTAATTCCGTTATTCAGTGGATTTTTAAAACCACTGTGTGTGTATCTTTGTATGTGTGTTTACACACACACACACACACACACACACGGGAGCTTCAAAAAGTTCATTGAGAAAATGGGGTTAAAAAATAATGACATTACTAAACCCTAGCTCCAACTTAAGAAAACTTAGTTGTTATATCATGACCCTGCTTGATACTTGCCCTCAGGAAGGGAGCACAGAAGATTGGGTGCTGTATCGAAATGTGGAGAAGAAATTAGATGGTGCCCCCCGGCTATCAGATAAAATAGCATCTGGGGTCTTAAAGGCTTGTCTCCAAACAAGCAGCCATCTAAGCCAGATGTCAGCTAAACCCACATGGAAGGGGCACACCAACAGCAGTCACCAAAGGATTGCAAACCGTGTAATCTGAAGTTGAAGGAGGGATTGGTATTAGAGCCTAAATTGTGAGGTTCCTGTTTGCAGAAGGCTGTGAATGACAGGGGGAGCCCAGGATACATTTGTGGGAACTGCATAAGAAATAAGCCCCAGGTTATTTCCCTCCATCGATACTAGAGGGATGGGGGGAAAGTGGTTACTGAACAGAGGGCATTGGAGAGATGGCTACAGAAGATCAAAGGGATAAAGCTGAGTTGAATGGTTAAAACCCTGTCAGTCCATTGCCCCTTCTGATGCACATTGGACCTGCTCTGGTTTTCAACTTTTTCTATATTTTTGCTTGTGTTTTATTTGTTCATGTTGGGCGTATCTCAGTTGTGATAACCCTCTTGAATTTGTGTTACATGTTTTCCTGTTTTTAGGGATATGAAACCCAGGATTGATGAACCTATAGGGACAGCAAGTAGTATAAGAGTTTCAGGGGGTGTACAGACGTGGTGAGGATCGGGGAGTAAAAGGGAGCTGATGTCAAAGAGTCTAGGACGGAAAAGAATGTTTGGAAGCTGATTGTGGTAGCAGTTGTACAATACTGCTTGATGTGTTGGAATATGGAATGATATGATATATGTATTAACTCCCAATGTAAAAAATAAATTAAAAAGTTGAAAAATTAAAAAAAGAAACTATTTAAAAGATGATGGTATTTTTGGGTCTGTACATATTTATGCATACATATGTAGAGAGAATCTGTCTCTTTGCTTATATATTATGTGGGTACATGTCAAGAGGATGATTTTATGAAGATTATAGAGCAACAGTTCTCAACCTGTGGGTCACAACCCTGCCCAATTCATAACAGTAGCAAAATTACAGTTATGAATTGACAAAAAAATAATTTTATGATTGGGGGAGTCACCACAACATGAGGAACTGTATTAAAGGGTCATGACATTAGGAAGGTTGAGAACCACCGTTGGAGAGCCTGAAAAATCCAAATCCATAGGTTAGAAAACAGGCTAGAAACTCTGGCTGTCTGGTGTCTAAAATGGTAGATTGGGTGTTGGGAGAGAGAGAGGAATTCTGGAATAGTGTTTATTTGTATCTGAAAGCAGAAT